CTTAATACATTGTGAGACTCCTCAGTTGCTGGGTCTTATTTTATTCAGGTAAATTTCCCCTCAAAGTTGCTATGTTTTTCAGAAATTGCCTAATTATCAGCTTATCAGCTACACGTGGTTCAAATTTCGAATGATTTTAATTATATTCATAAGCCATTGGCAATGAATATCATTTTATCAGTGACGTATCAGGAAGTGAAGCCATAGAGGACCCGTTCACAATTGTGTAGGGCCTTCGTGTAGACTGAGAAACTGGGAGGGACTGGGTCTAGAACTAGGACTGTATCAGCAACCAGCACTCTCCAACTTACAACATACTCATTGTAGGGGGCTGCTCTTAGGTAGTGTCTTGCTGCCTGGTGATGGTGTGCCTGGTGATGGTGTGTGGATAAAAATGGAAAAGCTAACTATATGCAAATGCTGTAGAGAGATCGGGACAAAGAGCTATAGAACATTTGACATTAATTTTGAAGTGAGTTATAATGATTGTGTGAGTAGATTAACAGAGGGAAAGGTGCGACAATGATTATCATTATTTTTAATACGGGATAATTTTAATATTATTTCATGAAATTGTTGGTTAAATTATTTTAAATTAATTTTAAGACAATGTGGAATTGAAACAGTGCTGCAGCACTAGAGGAGGCTCCTCCCATTGGTATGTATTTACTACAAAGAATATAAAACATTGAGGGCTCCGCCTCCTGACTTCACCTTCCAGTCACACCCAAACGTATGTACATGCAGACAAATTCTTGTGAGTAAGGGCTTTGCTCAATTACTAATATTAATCATATTTATTAGTTTATTTTTATTAAGAGACTGGAGTGAAGACTTCATCGACTCCATTACAGGAAGATAGTTACATTGCAGAAGAAAAAGCATGAAGCAATCAAAGAAAGAAGATGAAGATGAAGGAAGAGGTAATTGAATATCAATATAAGAATTATTAGTATTGATGTCCTTATGCTGTGTAGAAAGCTTGAGCTGATTCCAACTTAATTTATTTCGAGTTAGGATCATTTTTTTAATTTGCCAAAATCTGAAAAATTCCTTGATACCATGGTTTTTCAAAAAAATGACTCTGAAGTTACTCCCAATTTTTATTATATCTTTTGATACACATTGATGCCCTTAGGCTATATGTAGAAAGTTTGAGCAGATTCCAACTTAATTTTTTTGAGCTACATGTACAAGTATGACCATTCTTATGCCAAAATACATGCATCTTAGTTATTCTTTTTCTGAAAGATTGGCTCACTCCCAATATACATGTACATGCATACGCTAGCCAATTTTTATTAGAAAGAAATTCTACATTTTATTGTGTACATGACTACATGTACATGTTCTTGTGTTTATATATATTTTGTACATGTAAGTGTAAATATACTGTATATCGGGTATATTTCAATGCATGAAAAGTCGTGGAAATATTAAGTTCAATGATGGAATAATTTGGAAGCCTTTTATATTCCGAAAATATTTTACTTGCTATTATTTCCATCAACCACCTGGTTTGGTAAGTCATTCGAAGCATTTGCTGACTTCTCCACTTCTGAATCAACCTTAGCAACACTTCTAACTGGCAAAGAAGGCTCTTTATGGCCTTCGAGTTAGACTAGAATGTAGCCATGGATAGTTATGAAGCCACGTGTTCATAATAATTGTACAGTACCACATATCTTCTATTCCTTTTTATCCGCATATTTTAAAATTTCATAATATTTATTTTCGCAATGGATTGCTTTTTCCGAAATTATTAATGCATTGAAATA